AGAAAAATAGCGCAGAAAGCCGAACCAACGTGCGCTTGACGCCAGCGTGTCCCGCGAGTGGCGTGGCATGAAACTCGTGGAGCAGTGCAGTTTTAAGAGAGGAAGTGGAACTTAAAACGTACCTGTGACGGAAACAAAGCACGCCATCCACCTCTGAGTAGTCGGAGGATAAATCCCCTGTGCGAAATGCGTGGTGGAGTTGTACTAAGTCAGGGAGGGTGGCATGTTCCTTGCGGAGGGCCACCAAGAAGTCACAGGAGGGACGGCTGGCTAACGTCCAATAAGAGGGAGAAACATCCACTGTGTGTGTGGACTGCTCCTCGTGCACCCGGGATAAGGCATCTGCCGCCTTGTTAGTGCTCCCTCGTTTGTATTCAATCCGAAAATGATAGCCCAAAAGCTTCCGAATGTAGACTTGCTGGTCCGGGGTATTGATGACCTGTTGGAAGAGCTCCTTAATACTCTTGTGATCTGTTCGCACGATAAAGAACCGGCCCAGAAGGTATTGGCGCCACTTCTGGACAGCGGCCGAGATGGCATGTAGCTCTTTGATATAGGTTGACGCAGCCCTTAGTTTGATGCCCAGTTTCTTGCTAAAATAAGAGATGGGGTGGTTGGCCTGCATAAGAACCGCGCCAATTCCCACATTCGATGCATCCGTCTCAATGACAAAATCCAAATCAAAGTTCGGCAAGCCCAACACCGGTGCTGCCACCATGGCCTGCTTGAGGATAGTGAAGGCCTCGGAGGCTGCCAGAGTCCAGTGAAAAGACTCTTTACATAATAAATCAGTGAGGGGGCAGCCATAGTGGCATATCCGCGAATAAAACGTATGTAATATCCGGTCAAGCCCAAAAAACCTCGTAGTTGTTTCACATTCTTCGGACAAGGCCAGGCGACCATGGCCTCAAGCTTTTGAGGGTCAGCTTGTACTCCCTGGGCAGATACTATGTGTCCTAAGTAATCAATGGTGTCTTGGCAGAAAGTGCACTTCGAGAGCTTGATGAAGAAGTGCTTGGAGTGTAAACAAAGCAACACCTGCTCTAGGTGAGAAACATGCTCCGCCACAGTGGCACTATAGACGAGAATATCGTCAAAAAAAATGATCACGAACTTGCGCAGAAACGAGGCAAAAAGTTGATTCATGGTAGCTTGAAAGGTTGATGGCGCATTCGTCAAGCCGAAATGCATTACCAAGAACTCAAAGTGACCATCATGGGTGCGAAACGCCGTTTTATATGTGTCCCTTGTGTGGACCCGAATCTGATGGTATCCCGCCCTCAAGTCCAGTTTGCTAAACACTGTGGCACCACCTAGTTCATCTAATAACTCATCGATGGTGGGTATGGGAAACTTGTCTTTAATAGTGACCGCGTTCAAGGCCCGGTAATCAACATAAAAACGATAAGAGCCATCTTTCTTTTTAACCAATAAAACCGGAGAGGAAAATGGGCTCTGACTGGGCTTGATGATGCCCTGCTCCAACATCTCACGGATCAATTTCTCCATTTTCGTTTCCTGGAAATGTGGATAGCGGTAAGGGCGCACATTGACTGGTTTAGAGTTAGGCAGCAAGTGAATCCTGTGATCAATGGTCCGGTAGGGGGGTAAACCAGTGGGCTGCGCAAATAAAGCACTATAACGGTGGAGTAGCGATGAAATGGGCGTGGGCAGCGACTTAGGAAACTCCAAAACCGCAGGGTCCTTATAATGTCATGGAGCGTATAGGTCCAGTGGCCTACAAACTTGACTTACCCAGTGGTTGCCGCATCCACCCAGTTTTTCACATCTCAACACTCAAGCCTCTTCGTGGTTCTGCTCCTGCAGACAGTACCCCCCTTCCATTAGGCAGTGTGGATAATAAACCGCTTTCCATTCCAGTGGCGGTTTGTGCTTCTCGATCCATCCTTCAACAGGGTAAAGTGCACCGCCAAATTTTGGTGCAGTGGTCTGATAGTGGGCCCGAAAATGCCACCTGGGAAGATTTTATTGTGTTCTGTCACACTTATCCTAATGAAGAAGTGCTTGGAGTGTAAACAAAGCAACACCTGCTCTAGGTGAGAAACATGCTCCGCCACAGTGGCACTGTAGACAAGAATATCGTCAAAAAAAATGATCACGAACTTGCGCAGAAACGAGGCAAAAAGTTAATTCATGGTAGCTTGAAAGGTTGATGGCGCATTCGTCAAGCCGAAAGGCATGACCAAGAACTCAAAGTGACCATCATGAGTGCGAAACGCCGTTTTATACGTGTCCCTTGTGTGGACCTAAATCTGATGGTATCCCGCCCTCAAGTCCAGTTTGCTAAACACTGTGGCACCACCTAGTTCATCTAATAACTTATCGATGGTGGGTATGGGAAACTTATCTTTAATAGTGACCGCGTTCAAGGCCCGGTAATCAACACAAAAACGATAAGAGCCATCATTCTTTTTAACCAATAAAACCGAAGAGGAAAATGGGCTCTGACCGGGCTTGATGATGCCCTGCTCCAACATCTCACGGATCAATTTCTCCATTTCCGTTTTCTGGAAATGTGGATAACGGTAAGGGCGCACATTGACTGGTTTAAAGTTAGGCAGCAAATGAATCCTGCGATCAATGGTCCGGTGGGGGGGTAAACCAGTGGGCTGCGCAAATAAAGCACTATAACGGTGGAGTAGCGATGAAATGGGCATGGGCAGCGACTTAGGAAACTCCAAAACCGCAGGGTCCTTAACTGGTGACTCCCCGGGAATGGTCTCAGCCGCTAGGGGTTGCAACTCAAACAGGCTGTGAACCTCATCGCCATGGACCAGGGCCTGAAACTGGTGCAGCGAGATCAAGCTAGGTAAACCGGTGATATCCCCACATAAGGTCACTTGTTTCCCCTCCCAACAAAATTCCATGGACAGGGCGGCATAATCATGGGCCACGCGGCCCAGCTTTTGAAGCCACTGGATGCCGAGAACGACATCCGGTCCTTCTATCTGCAAAACGTGAAGGTCCACAAGAAAAACAGTCCCCTGCATAGACAAAGACACCTGGTGACATGTGAATTGGCAAAGGAGAAAATCACCATTGCCAATGTAAACGCGGAAAGTCGGCGTGGGCTGGATAGGTAGTCCTAACCGTTCGGCCAAGGCAGGTTTGATGAAGTTATGGGTACTCCCGCTATCAATTAAAACCTGAAAATAGTGGGGGCCAATCTCGCCACGCAGCCGAAGAGACCTAGGATTACCCTGGCCAGCCAACGCATTCAAACTCGAAATGTCCCCGGTCACTACTTCCTCACACTCTTCCTCAGGGGGTAAGTCTTCAGGGCCTTCTATCTCCCCGTCATCCGTACCTAAGAGAAGAAAAAACTTGCTACGACAGCGGTGATTCATGCTGTATTTCTGGTCACAATTATAACACAGGCCTTTTTCACGTTTTTCGCGCAATTCGGCCGGTGTGAGACGACGGATGGGCAGAGGGGGGATCGGTAGTAAAGGTGGTAATGTGGTCTGTTTTTGTGGGATCTGGTTGGCAGGAGGGGGAATGTGTTGAGGTTGGGGATGGGATGATGGAACAGGGGCAATTAGATGTGACTGGTTAGGAGTTTTGTGGGAGGAAAACTGGTTTGGGTTCCATTTGGGCCATGACCGAGCACCCTGCCTAGCCTCGTCGGACCGAGCCTCATAAGCCCGCGCTAAGGCGAACGCTTCAATTAAAGACAATGGACGAGAAACTAATAGTTCACGGCGAATGTCCGGTTTTAAGCCCGTAATAAAAAAACTAATCAACAGAGGTTCAGATATTCCAGTAACCTTATTCATCAATTCCTCAAATGCAAACTGGAATTCAGTAACAGATGTTGTCTGAGAAAGTTTTGAGAGGTTACCTGGATGGTCTTCGTACAACGATGTGCCGAAACGTTGTTTCAGATGGACCAGAAACTCCTTCCAAGTCGTCAGCTAGATGGACCAGAAACTCCTTCCAAGTCGTCAGCCAGTGATTAGCCTTCATCCATTGGTACCATGCAGCGGCGCGGCCTTCCATATGAAAGGATACGATTCGAAGCCGGAGATGATCCGGAGTGCCATGGAAATAAAAAAACTCCTCCGTCTGAAACACCCAACCCGTCGGGTCGGAGCCATCGAACTGGGGAACCTCTATTTTCATGGAACGTAATACAGGGGAAAGCTCATTACCTTCAATCGGTGTTCCTGCAAGAGGAGGCACGGGATGGGTCGGAGCCGAGAACCCGCCCTCATCCACCGGAGATCCTTGGATTTGCGATTGCAGATCTTCGAGGCGAGCATCCACCATAGCCATGTACTGTTGCAATGTCTTGTGGAGGGACACGGTCTGGCCCTCAAACTGGTTTTGCAATGCCTTCACCGCTGCGAGAACGTCAGAGTCTGCCATGAAATGAGCAATGAAAGCACCAATTGATACGACCAACCTGTAAATTCTCAGAGGTCAGCCGTATTTTCACACTCTTTGAGCGAGTGCTGGCTCCAAGGGAAAGAAAAGAGCTAAGAAGGAAAAAAAATAGATTTAGGGGAGGAATCAGAAGAGAGTGAGACGGAGATGAAAAAGTTCTTCGTTATTCATTGTCCTCTCACAAGGTTTCCTATTCCACAACTTATACCTCTCCTCGGTGAACCCAATCGAGAGGCGAGACTACCCGTAAAATAGAAAGCAAATTACAGCCATTGACAGTAAAGGAAAAAAAAACAAAAACAGAGAAATGAAAGTTCTGCCATCACTCCCGAGGACTAACGTCCTAGCTGCATCAAACGACACTCTTCCCTCCCTAAACGACATAGTCCTCTAACCACGCGGGAGGCCTTCTAGCTCGTGTTGGGCCTTTTGGGTTGCTGTTGTTCATCCTCTTGGGCTGGCCCTCTTCCTCTGCCACTGTTGTTTCAAGGCCCACGTCTGGAAGCTGCATGGGCATGGGTTGGGTCGTATCAGAATCATTGACTGATTGATTCTCCTTTTATTGTTAATTTACCTATATATCACGAAGTACAATCCAATTCCCCGTTATTGTGTCTTCTATCAAAATTTTCCCATTCTCTACATCAAATTAACATTCATCAGTAAGTAGTAAAGTAAACACATGATCATGGGTGGGAAAACGTTTTTGACTTTTATGTTTCTTCTGTGTAACTTGCTAGAGTGTCAAGAGATAACCTTTTTTCACATCAGAAACACATAAATGATTAAACAACCGGCGTTTAGTGCACGGCCTTCTCCTTTTAATCCCGAATTTCAAGTGTCAACTACAAAATTGTATTCGTAGATGTTTCTAGACCACCACTCCAAAGTCCAAGCTATAAACGTTGTATAATCCTCAATTAGTATTACTAATTCCAATAAATTAATTAATGGCACAGTCTCTATATTGTTATTATTATTATTATTATTATTATGAAGGGAATATGCTCTAGTTTTATTATTCCAATATACTCTATATTGTTCAGTTTTCGTTCTTCTTACACCTCCAAGTATGTAGGTATGCACTTTTTTTTTCTTGGCTAAAAATCTAAGTCTGCATTTGGTGCTTCTTTTTTTGGCTAGAATATTGATATTATTTATGTAGGACTTCATAGTCAGAAATGGGACCAACACGGTTGCTAGAAATCAAATGGTGCAGAAATTCCTCTGGCGTCCCCTTCACACAAAAAATCAATTCCTTCTTTTATTTCTGGGAAACAACTTTGGAATGACATTTTGTCTCCATTTTCTTTAATTTTGGTTGTTGAAAACTATTTGAGCATATCTATCTTGTTTAATTTTCCACAAATAAGAGACTCACCCACCTTGCTTGATCACCTCCAACTTGCATTGAGAGACGTGTTCACACTGCAAATGAAGTTATTAATCAAAATTTAGTAAGGCCAAAAAAGAATTTTGTTACTTATTCTAATTGAATGGAAAATGATATCGTAGGTCTACTAAATAGGATTGTACTTTTTCTACACCAAAATTTCTCATTCTCCACATCAAATTAACATTCCTGATCGGTAAGTAAACACATAAGACAAGGAAATAAGACGTTTTTTTACTTTTATACTCCTCAATTACTAATTCCAATAAACTAATGGTACATGCTCTTATTATTATTATTATTATTATTATTATTATTGGAATATGCTCTATTTTTTTCAGGCTATGATAACCAAAGTTAAAAAAAAAAAAAAGATTAAGTTAAAAAAAAGATAAAGTTTAGCTCGATCAATGACCAACTTTTTAGTAATAGATTAAGATACGTTGCCTTTTCAAGCTAGTTAACCAAAGTTAATAAGATCTGTTGCTTTTTCAAGCATAGAGCAATAGTTGCTTAATTATAATCAACATTTTCCCTCTATATGTTCAGAAATTGTAGTGGATTAAATGATAACAAAAGTTTATGTCAAATTGAAATATCATATTAATTGCTGAACAATCAGGACAGAAAGATATTGATAATGACATCGATATACAATATTATGCAAATTGGCTCCAACCCTGAAGTTCTTAGAAGTTCCATTGTTCTGCTAAGAAATTAGCAAGACGACGATGTAAACCTCTATGTCCCTCACTACAGGTTCTAGGAACCATCCATCGTTATTTTTCTTTTCATACGTGTAAATTGGACAAGAAATGTAAAGTAAGTTAAAAAATGGTAAAATAAATAAATAAATAAAGTCTCTCCTTTCTTCTTGCTGTATTTTGACTCAGAGAGCTTCACTAGATGTATATACGAATCAAGTTGTTATTCGGAACGTCCTTGATTCAAAGTGTGAAAGCATAGTCTTTTGAGTCATAAAGACATATTTAATCTTTCAAGCTAGTTAATCTACACAAAGACCTTGCCATATTTAATCTTTCACTTTGGTGGGAGCGCTTGTGCTTGCACCCGGGGTCCAAGGTTCGAATCCTGGAAACGGCCTCTCCTTCGGGGGGTAAGGCCGCGTACATATGAGATTGAGATTTCTCCCGAGCCTGTCATAGTACGAGAACCTCTTTGGCACTAGGGTCCGCCTTTGAATGCGTATAGTTTCATCTTTTTGTGCCTGATAGTAGATTTTGATTCTATTCAACGTTCAATTATTTTGACCTGTGATATGGTTAATTGATTGTTGCTTACTTGTCATCTATTATTTAGGAGGAAACGCTAACTATGAATAGTTAAGAATGTACTAATTATAACTATTTCGGTCATTTAGGGTCTTCTCAATGCTTGATGGTCCTTGAAGTTTCAGTAATAAAAGGGGTACTACTTTGATACTAGACCATGAGTTGGCATTTCTTTACAGTTATACTCTTTTAACTAGTAGTGATAAAATTAAGAGTATTAGTTGGATCAAGAGGGAGATGTCACTACAAGAAAAAGGACTTTTCGTAGCGGTTAGTTATAGCGCTTTTCAAAAAACGTTACTGCTTT